TGCTCGAGCACAAACTGTACCGCAGGGGATTCTCCATCCCCCTCTTAAAATGCATCGACGAATCCACAGTCCCCGAGGTACTACGGGAGATACACGAAGGGATCAATGCCCAGCACATGGGCGATAAATCCTTGGCGAGGAAAGCCCTTCGAGCGGGATATTACTGGCCGACGATGCAGCAGGACGCCAAGGAACACATTAAGAAATGCGACAAGTGCCAGAGGCACGGCGACATGCACCTCGCCCCCCCCCCCCCCTCACGACCTAAGCATACTATCGTCCCCGTGGCCGTTCGCTTGGTGGGGTATGGATATCCTCGGACCCTTCGTGCAAGGGACTTATCAAAATAAATTCCTAATCGTGGCCGTGGATTACTTCACGAAGTGGATCGAGGCCGAGGCTCTTGCGAAGATCACCTCGCATAATATCCTCCGCTTCTACAAGAGAAACATCCTCGCCAGATTCGGAATTCCGAGTGCACTGGTGACCGACAACGGCACCCAATTTACCGACCACGGGTTCCAAGACTTCGTCGCCAGACTGGGAACAAAACAGCATTTCACGTCAGTCGAACACCCTCAAACCAACGGGCAAGCCGAAGCTGCGAACAGAGTCATCCTCCGGGGACTCAAACGCCGACTCGGTGAAGCGAAGAGGGGATGGTTCGAGGAGCTTCACAGCGTCCTGTGGGCATACCGCACCATACCCCACTCGACGACGGGCGAGACCCCGTTCCGACTAACATACAGGACCGAGGCCGTCATCCCGGTAGAAATCATGGAACCATCCAGACGGACAGAGCACCCCCTCGACGAAGAAATGAACAACGAGGCGCTGAGGGACGAGCTTGACTTAGTCGAGGAAATCCGATCTGGTGCAGCCCTGCGCGAAGCCACCCTGAAACAACGAGTGGCTTTGTGCCACAACGACAAGGTTATTAAGCGCGAGTTCGAAATCGGCAGCCTGGTATTACGAAGGAACCAGAAAGACTCCCGCGAAGGGAAGCTAGCCGCGAACTCGGAAGGGCCTTATCGCGTCCACGGCACCACCGGTATCGGGGCGTACTACCTCGAGCAATTAGACGGAGAGCCGCTACCACGACCCTGGAACGCTGCTAAACTAAAGCAGTACTATAGTTAAAAACTACCAACACTGAGGACCCTCGATTGTCGGCTCCCGCGCCCAGTCAACGAGGAGAAACGTCTGATCCCGTAGAAAGGCCAAGGTGCGGGCTCGACCTACGTCCAAATCGCATAACATGGTTCAAATAAGAACAAAGGATAATGCCCAACGTGGACACCTCTACTGAGTTCCACCGTCGAAGTACCTGTGAGGCAGAACACCCAGCTCGCGATGGGCAGTTCACGCCAAGGGTAAATAGTCCCGACCGGGCCATGTACCCGACCAAGCGGATTCGCTCCGCCTGCCCGACAAATCTCCAAGAATGTCGGGTCATCTAAAAGGGTCAAAAAGGAGTCTCTCCCCTCGAGTTCACCACTTAGGCGACTCTGGCCATCGAGAAGAGGCCGAGCACATACACGAACAAAAGGCTTAGGAAAATTTGCCAGCAAAGTCACGACCAGTTACGGACATACCTCGGGACCATAACTTAGGCCAATTTTTGCGCAAAAACGTAAAATACAAACACGGGCAAACAATCAAAATTGAAGCAAAGCATTCATTCAAAACGCCTGTAGGCAACAAAGCAAATAAGATGTAAACCGACCAAAAAGGCTGGCAATATTCAGGAATACAAAGAACGGGCACGCAGGCCCAAAAGAATGTGAACGGGCACGCAAGCCCAAAACAAACATCAACGAGGCACGCAGGCCCCATCACTATCTCACACTTCGGCTTCCCCCGAGCTACCATCACCAATAACAGGAGAGTCGGGCGGAGGCACGACCTGACCATCGATAATCTGCGACATATGGCTCACCCCTTCAGTGTTCAGGCCGGGATTTAACAAGGAAAGTTGGCTGACCGCGGCTTCGAAGTCGTCCACCATAGCTCCGACACAGTCCCCCTCAAGGAGTTGAATACGAGCGACCAGTTCCGATCGACTCCTCAGAAGAGCTGTGTCCTCCGACTCATCCTCGGCAGGAAGCATAGCAGCCTTTAGGTCCTCGACCTCTCTGGCAAGGCGCCCGTTGTCGAGTTCCAGTCGTTCACGATCCGCACGAAAAAGGTCCATCTCCTCGGCCAGCTTCCCCGAGCTCTCTCTCTCAAGAGCCAGCAACTCTGTCTCTGTCGCCAGTAGCTTGGCTTGCTCACGGAACATTCCCTCAGAGCGCTCCAAAGCAGCCTTCAACTTTCACGAGCTCGAGGTGAGGGCAGCTTTCTCCTGTTCCAACTCTTTGATACGGTCGGCATCCTCCCCCTCCTCGGCCAGTACAACGGCCATTTCGACCATCTTCACCAGCCCGGCCATGTTGGCGGCCAGGTGCCTTCTCCGGCTTTCCTTGTTCATCCGCCTGATGGTTTCAGCTTCGTCAGGATTCACGGACAGAGGAAATCCCTCGAAGAAACCCTCCTCCTTAAAGCAAGGGGGAAACCCGAAGGACCTCACAGTGCTGGAGTCCTCGCCGATGTCTGGCTGACTTTCCACCCGATTCCTTTTTCTCTGTATCAGGTCGGTATGTGGCTCGACTGAAACAACCGGCTGAAAATCATCAAAACAATGAAGTCGCCATCGAACGTCTTTTATCCCACATGTAGGGAAAGGTAAACATCGAGAAAACCTGAGAAGGGAGAAGTCACGGTCTCGCGACCGAGAGATCGGGTAAGGGAGTCTGTTACGCGAGGGGAAGGTATTAGCACCCCACACGCCCGTAGTACTCTATGGTATCCACTCTTGTAATCTATCTTATGGGTGTGTTTAATCTATGCTTACTGTTTATTACTGCTAAGGGAGAATGCATGCAAAAGAAAAGGAGAAAAGAATGTAGGGAAAATAAAATTGTGCTCGCTTGGGCCCTACCTCAATGCCTACGTATCCGTTTTGAGGAATCAGAGCTACCGTAGTTCGACTCATATGTTTTTGTTTGTTTGTGTTTTTTATGGACGAAGTTAATCCCGCCTTCTGTCGCAGCTCGACCTTTGGAGACTTATGCGTTGGCACATAAGTAAATTAATCGTGTCCTTACCTGAAAAGGGTTTTAAATAAAAGTGCTCGAGCGCACAAAAGATTTGAATTGGTTTATATTTTTGTTGTAGATGTTTTTTGTGGACGAAGTTAATTCCGCCTTCTGCCGCAGCTCGACCTTTTGAGACTTATGCGTTGGCACAGAAGTAAATTAATCGTGTCCTTACCTGAAAAGGGTTTTAAAGAAAAGTGCTCGAGCGCACAAAAGATTTGAATTTGTTTTGTATTTTTGTTGTAGATGATGACTGATTGACCTCAAGAGAGAGATATTAGCCATTTTTCTACTTAGCCATGAAAGGAGTTTTTGAGAATTGAACCACACCTATGCTTGAGATGAAGAACAATAAGATCGAGAAGAGACCCGCTTATCATTTCTCGTACTAAGCAAAAGCGTGATTCTCATCAGTAGTTTTAAAGTGTTTTGAATTTTGAAAGAAAAGAAGTTTTAGTTTTAGGTGCGTATGTTCAAAGAGAAAGAAAAGTCAAATGGGACTAGCTTACTTCTAAACCTAATGTTATCGTGCGTTAGTAGCCATAAGATTTAGGTTAAAGGGGAAATTTCTACCTGATGTTAGTATGCATGAATTTGAAAGCCTAATGTCTAATTTTAGTTCAATTAAATCGAAGATTAAATTTGAACCAAAATCTCCTAAGGAATCATGAAATAATATACGAACAAGTAAAATTAGGCAGCAAGTATCAAAATATCGCATACAATCCATAAAAATTGCAAGCGAAACACATGAAATAAAAATGAGTAAAACTAATGATTAAAATTGAAAAGAAAAAGTGAGAGAATTGAAAAGAAATCTCTTTTATTTACCAATATTGCCAAAGAAAATAAATCGCCAAAATTAATCGCAATCGAAATGAGTATGGGAAATAAGATCTCGGGAGGTGCGAACTAAATTCACTATGTGCTGCAAAAAATGCAATGACATTAGGCCCCATCAAAAATAGACACAATCAGCAAGAAAATAAAAATAATCATAGTCCAAGAATTGATTAGTTTGGCCCATGTTAATCATTCTTAGTTTTGTTAATCATCATATTATTATATTTATTTGTTGAATTAATAATAAAAAGAATAGAACATGCAATAGAAATACTGGTTCAGAAAGAAAGAAATAAAACAAAAAAACAATTAAAACTAAAAAATAAAATATAGGAAAGTTGAAAAAGGGGTTAGGGTTAAAAGAGAGAGGTGTTCTCTTCTTCTCCGTAGAACAGCGGCGGTGCCTCCGCTTTTGGCTCATACTTCGAGTAAACGGTTTTGGCCAATCCAGAAGCCGATTCAACCAATCCGGCACGGCGGACTTCGGTCATAACAGATCTAGCTTGAGTCGAAACCTTCTTGACGTTGGTAGTAACATGACGATCCAGTTCAGAAACGGATTCATCGACCTTGCGATCGACGTATTTGAGAAGCTCCACGGGGACTTGGTGGAATTTGTCGTAGACTGGACCGATGACGGTTTTCACGGCTTCTTCAACAGTGTCGACACCAGTTTTGAGTGGACCAGATCGTTCTTTCGCGTAGGAATAGAGGATCGCGCATCGCATCAAGGCGTGGATCGTTGCGAATTGCACGAATTGAAGATACTTGAGTTGTTGCACATTTTGATTATTGTTAACGTTCTCTCCAGCCAATTGTTGTTACGGTTGAGACTCGGATTGAGCTTCGGCGGTCATGATCGGAAAATTGATCGACGATGATTTAGTAGTTTAGGTTTCAGGGAAATTTTGGGAATTTACAGTGGAGTTTTGGAAGATGAAGATGAAGATGAAGATGAGATAAGAAGATAAAATTTCTGTAGTTTTTTGGATGTGATTCTTCCACAAACTCCAGAATGAGATGATTGAGAGGTAATAATTTCTTTTTTCTGTTAAAATCGTATATCTCCCTATTCTGTCAATCTCCTTCTTTGGTTCACGCTTATGCTGTGCTTCTGTGTTGTTGATTCCTATTGTTGTTATTATTTGCAGTAGCCGTTTTGTTCTTGTGTATCATTTGTTGAGCACGAATCAGAGATGCAAGATTGTGAAGATTGAAGGTTGGGGAGTTGCAGAGATGGAGGTTTAGGGAGAATAAGGTTGAGGTTTCAGAGTGTGAGTTCAGAGAATTTGGAGGATTGAGATGAGGATGGTGATTGTGATGGTGAAATGATGCGTGGATGAATGTGGATGAAGGTTCTGAAACTGGAAAAATGGTGAGAATTATGGAGTTAAGATGAAGAAATGAAGGTTTGTACCGAGAAAGAGAGTGAAGGAATAGTTTCTGAGGATTTTTTTTCTTGGTGAGTTTCTTTCTTAATATAAATAATTGTGTTCATCTCCCTTTCTGACTGTGGTCTTTTTTATTATGTATATGCTGGAGGTTTTTTTATAGTTAGGAGGTTGGTTAGGAATGAGTTAGTTATGCTGTAACTGTTTTGGGTTGTTATTGAATGTTAGTTATGGGGCTGTTACAGTTAGTTCTGTTATGAGTTAGGGAATTGGGTATAGGTTGGTTACAGTTAGAAGTTAGGGAAAAGTTAGTTATGAATGGGTATTTGTGAATTCACTTTTGGTTTTTGTTAGCTGTTTGCAGTGTGGACTGTTTTTGAGGATGGTTAGGAGGTTAGCAATTAGTTATAGATTATGGTGCAGTAAGTTACTTTGTTATAAAACTTATGTGCAGGGCTGCCTTTATTTTTTTGGGTTACGAAATTGGTTTTGACAATTGGAAGTGTAGTGTATGCGGTTCATGCTTATGACAGTTTTTCCAATATTTTTGCAGGTTTGGTTCATATCAGGGCTATTGGGAAGCAAAGGCAAAAGGAAAACACCAAGATGATATGAAGTTGGAACAAAGACGCATAACACGAAGTTTTGGAAACTTGAAGTTTGAAACATGAAGAATGATTGAAAATTAGGATAGGTTTTGGTAAAAATGTATAGATGTTATGTATAATTGTAATGGAATTTGGATTTGTATGTATTTGAATAATTGTAATGGAATTTGGACTTGTATGTATTTGAATACACATTGGAATGTATGTTGACTTTATTTCCACATAATGAAATGGCCTTTGTATGAATTCAAATAAATGGTATGAATCCAAAATATTTGCAAGATAATCAAAAGAGACATGAATCTTGAATGAATCCAAGAGAGGCTATTTGGACGATATTTTGATGGTTGGATGAATTTGATGCATGCTTTTTCATACTTGTGGTTTGAATTCTAAGAAAAGCCATGCAAATATTTAAGAACTTTGATTTTCTCCAAATCCACTTCAATTATTAGTGAATGAATTCTAATCAAACTACAGCTTCAGTGAATCTCTAATTCAATTCAATTCCTCAGTATAAACCAAACTTGTGTGTCAAGCAATAAGCATTTGAAATAATGACACCTTGATCACAATCAACATCTTGTACCATGTCCCGACTATATGAGCACTAGAACAACAACGTCTTGGACCCCTTCTCAATAGATGATAATGACTATGCCCTGAGGGATTCTTTGCAGATGAATATGAAAGATGAGACATGCGAATACCTTGATATGGAATGAACCTCAGGTAGAATGCTGACAAGCTCAAATATGAAAATGTATAAACCCTGATTTTTAGCTTCGTCTCATAAAACCTTGCAACTTGACATTGAGAAGAAAAGGATAGCCTCGTAGCTTGATGATGATAAGGTCCATGAAATGAAAACCTAGCTTCAAAAAAATTATTAATGGAGAAATCAACCGAAACAAGCTTGTGCGAAGATGGGAGCCTTAAAGCCATACACCAACCCTTTTTCCTCGAAATCCATGATCTTATGCCAATTTATCGATTAATGATGCATGATGTGTTAGATGACCTAATGGAAATTATATATGTGAGAAAAATGCAAAATGCGTAAGCCAGATAGGAAGTAAAAGGGTAGGACAAATTTGGGGTATTACAGCTGCCCCTATTTAGTCGTCTTAAACCTGAAAGTACGATTGGCGCGTGCCTTTCGGAAGTTCAAGGTGGAAGATGATTAAATACCAATGCCAAAAATTTGTCCTGAGAGAGAGTAAGTGTTTTCTTTATTTATTTATTTGTGTTATCTGTTGGGGAAAAGAAATTTGTTTTTTCAATGAAGAGACAGAGATTGGACTTGTAACGTGGAGCGATGCCAATACAAGACAAATGGTTGGTATGAAAAGACAGCGGACGAGGTCTACGGGCGACCTGCGATCCTAAGGCGACACATGAGAGTGATTTGACAGAGAACCTAGCCAAAGGGCGATCTCATGTTCTAAGAAAAAGTATATGGAAGGAACCTAGCCAAGAGGCGATCTCAGGTTCGACGATGATTTGAGGGAAGAACCTAGCCAAGAGGCGATCTCAGATTCGACGATGATTTGAAGGAAGAACCTAGCCAAGAGGCGATCTCAGGTTCGACGATGATTTGAAGGAAGAACCTAGCCAAGAGGCGATCTCAGGTTCGACGATGATTTGAAGGAAGAACCTAGCCAAGAGGCGATCTCAGGTTCGAAGAAGGGAACATGGGTTATGACATGATGATTGTTTAGATAAGCGACACGGATGAGCATTAAGAAATTTTAAACACGGACGAGTGTTTGATTCAATACGGACGAGTATTGAAAGAAGATACGGACGAGTATCAAAAGGTATAAACACGGACGAGTGTTTGATTCAATACGGACGAGTATTGAAAGAAGATACGGACGAGTATCAAAAGGTTAAACACGGACGAGTGTTTGAATCAATACGGACGAGTATTGAAAGGAGATAAATGTGAGTATCAAAAAGTTAAGCACGGACGAGTGTTTGATTCAATACGGACGAGTATTGAAAGAAGATACGGACGAGTATCAAAAAGTATAAACACGGACGAGTGTTTGATTCAATACGGACGAGTATTGAAAGAAGATACAGACGAGTATCAAAAAGTATAAACACGGACGAGTGTTTGATTCAATACGGACGAGTATTGAAAGAAGATACGGACGAGTATCAAAAAGTTAAACACGGACGAGTGTTTGAATCAATACGGACGAGTATTGAAAGAAGATACAGGCGAGTATCAAAAGTATAAACACGGACGAGTGTTTTATTCAATACGGACGAGTATTGAAAGAAGATACAGGTGAGTCTCAAAGGTATAAACACAGACGAGTGTTTGAATCAATACGGACGAGTATTGAAAGAAGATACGGACGAGTATCAAAAAGTTAAACACGGACGAGTGTTTGAATAACTGACCCGGGTGGGTGTTTAGGAAACTTGACACATACGAGTGCTTAGGAATGGACACAGACGAGTGTTTAGGGATGGACACGGACGGGTGTTTAGGAATGGACACGGACGAATGTTTAGGGAACCGACTACCAGACAAGAACTGGGTTTAGAACGACAAAGTGTATTGATTTTGTTTGGCATTGAAAAGGTGAAGGTCACTGATTGGGGATTTCGGGCATGATACCCTTCTGTAGGGATGTATTGTTGTCCTTGAATAATTCAGGTCTTTCGTGTAAGGTACCTGGTCTGGCTTATGCTTTGTATGCATGTTTGAATTTCTTTTGATGCAAAGATCCACTCTGATGGATCAGCTACGCGCTTTTGAGGATGCAATGTTATGTAATGATAACTATATGAAATGCGAAGAAATAAACTTCATGGGGGTAAGAGAAGGCTTGCTGGGAGCCATTGCTCATCACTGGGGATGCCAATATATATCGACGTTGGAAGCCTGCAGTACCAAAGATTGATGGGGGTACCGATAAAAATTTGCACTGGGGAGCCCATGATACCGAAGATTGTTGATGACTCCGCTGTAGACTGAATTGCTGACGAAGCGAGTCTTTAGGTACACTGCTGGATTCTGAATCGTACCGTTGAAGGAAGAGATAATCTGACCAAACCTCCATACATCTTGAACTGTTTAGGGGGTGATAGAAGTGAGTATGCCGAAGAATGGATATTGAACACCATGTGGATCCCTTCGGATACATGCTCCAAGTTTACGCATACTGGGGAATTATTTCTTGAATCACTTGAGGAATAAGAGATGGGTGTTGTACCCCAAAATTTGCCCTCCCATATTCTTCAAGAAATTGCCAAGTCAAACTGCAAAAGTTCCCCAAGGGTTGCACAGTGCAAAGATCTCCTAAGCAGTCAAAACTAGGGTTTGTGTTCTGATCAAGAAAATGAAGTTTTCAGAGGTCCAATCAAGTCTCACATGCCTATAAATATGGTCAAGCATCCTCATATCAAGTTTCAAGACATTCAACACAAAATTGCACAGTCAAAACCCTAATTGCACTACAGTCAACTGTAGGGGCAAAATGGTCATTTGACAGTCAGAAGTTCAAATTTTTGGTCAACATATCATTTTGAATCCACAAACATCATTTGATCAATGCTTGATCATTATTCTCAAAAGCTTGGCTCAAAAATCATCAAAATGCAAAAGTTTCCTTATTTGGACAGTTGAAAAAGTCAACTGAAATTGACCAGGGCATAACTTTCACATGGATTATCAGAAAAATTCCATCCAAAGCTCATTTTGAAGAGAAAGGCATTTCCTACAACTCATCTTCATACTTCAAGTCCAAGAAATGCTCTCACAAAAAGTTATCAATTTCAACATTATAGGTCATTTTCAAAAGTCAACAAAAAGGGACTTTAAGTCAAAGGTCATAACTTGAGATTGGTAAATCAAAATGACATGGGACCAAAGGCATTGGTTAGAGGACTCAAAGACCTTTCCAAAATGTCCAAGAACATGAGAAAAGCTTAATAATTGAGCAAGTTATGCCTTGTAGAAGTTGGGAAATTTTTGGATATTTTGAAAAGTCAACATTGATTCAAATGACCTAAAATTGCTAATGGGCCCATTTTTCTTCCACAATTCATCATTCCAAGCATGTGCACGACCATTTGGCCCAAAGGGAAGTATTATTTCATTTTTTATTTATTTATTTGAATTTTTATTTATAATAATTCACTTAAATCAATTAAATATGTGAAAAATATTTAACTTAACCTAACAAATCTTTTTGTACATGTTTTATTCTCAATAATTCGTGCATATCCCAATATAGAAAGATTTGGAGAGATTGGAGCTGATTTGTATCAAAAAGCACATGGGAAAAGATTGAGAAAATCTTAGAAAATCAAATTTCCAAAATCATGAATGCAAGATATTTGGATCCATATTCTTAACCTAATTCACTCTTGCATAAGTATGGAACACAACCCTAATCATAATACACACGCAGCTGCTCAGAAAACTCCATTCACAACTTGAAAATTTTGCCAAAAAACTCAAATCTGAAAACCACTTTTTAGGGTGATTCAAGGCATAATTCTTATTCCATTAGCTTGCTGAAGGTTCACTGGACATATTCCAATCAAAGACAACCATCAAAACCCAAGGAATCGGTATACAGAATTCAAGATATTTCATGAAAAATTCATTATCGTACTTTGAAATCTATGCATTTTTATGGCATTTCAATTATTGATTCTTATTCCTTGAATGATTCTGAAGCTGACCAACATATTTAATTGTATTTTTATACACCACACGCGATTCCACCATTGTTGTTTTCTAGGATTACCAAGCTTTCGATTTAGGCGTTTTTACATGCTGTAAAATTAGGAGTCCTCAGTACCATGAACGAAACCAGCTCGCTTGGACGAAAATAATGGCATGCTCGCGCTGAATTTATATGCCAAGGGGACCTATTCGCTATTTTCCCAAAACATGCCTAAGAGAACATATAAAAAACCGTGGCTTAATGTGTTTGTGTTTCAGGAACATGAAGAAGATGAATTCGTGGCAAGATGTGATAGGGCCGTTTGAATTTCGCGCGCAGTGTCCACTAACTCCTTTGTTTTCTTTTATA